TCAAAAAGGGATTTAACATGACTTAACATGACTTAACATGACTTAACATGACTTAACATGCTTTAAGCCTCAAATACCTGGTGTGTTTCACCATCAAAAATGAAGCTGATCCACATGAGGGACCATCGGCATCATCCACCCCGGATAATTCTCCTGCTACAGGACTCGTGACTGCCTAAAAGCACACGCCGTGGTCAACGCTTTGAGTCTCATCTTGCTTGAAGGCATGGGCTTGCAGATGGTTGGTGACAATAATGTCCTTTTGGTGAAAATAGAGGGGCCGGGAGCTGGTATACCATCTATCATCATAGAAACCTGTTGTTAAAGGGGTTTGTTCAACCCCCTCTATTAATCAACCAACCAACGGGAAAAGGATGGAGGTCAGGCTGTGACCCGGACTGCAGTGGGTGGCGCCACGGTCTCCAATAGTTCCTGCAAAGTTGACGGGGCAGTTGGCAGCAGCACGTCCCCAAAAAAGATGGTGGTTACATTCACTATGTCAAGAATAGATACAGCTCGGAACCTTTGACCAAAATAGTTTGTTTTTGCTATGCCAAAATAGTTTGGACTGAATGGATGGTTTGGTACAGACCCTGAGACTGTCCGGTTGAAGATTATGTCAAGGCTACAGTATAAGACCGAGGGCTCAACCACAGTGAAGGTCTGTCAAACTTTACATCCCGGAGTGTTCCAAGTGTCTTCCCGACATTTGTCTCAATGCATCTGGGAACAAAATTGCCCATGATGTTGCCTTCCTGGATAGCTGTTGCCAACTTTGAGACATTTGTCTCAAACTCCTGAACCCCAGGAACAAAAAACACGAAACATGCAGAGGATGCATCTTGCGGCGATGATGGTGATGGCCTCAGAGTGTGGATTCCAGGGCTGCTACGGAATGACCATTGGCCCAGGCGCCCACCCGAATCGTTCGTTGATCATATGGGGGCGACGAAAGAAGATCCCCAAAACTGGTCCAAAACTGGTCGCAATGAAGAGGATACTACTGGGAGGTAGTTAAGGTCTTGGAACTCCTGATATCGGCTTTCAACATAAAGTAAATGTTTTGCGGTCTGGCTTTGTCAAATCCCACAAAAAAGAACACAAAGGGTTGAAGCAAAGAACTTTTGAGAGAATATCGCAGACAGCAAACGCCAATCCTACTCATGTCCAGTTCAGAACAGTTCAAAACAAATCAAACCGAATGACCTAATCCTAATGATCCTGATGCCATTCCTACCATGGGCAGCCGGCACATAGGTGGGCACTGGCATCTCCACAGGTGAAGGCGCTTCTCCTCATGGGATATTTTCTGGATATCTGGTTCTTCGGCATGCCGAAGTTTTAATGGTCACATGATGTCGTATGCATCTACAGAAAAAAAGTGTGGTTTATATTGGTTTATGTGGTTTAAAACCAGAAAGGGAAAACAGGGGAAAAAAAAGACAGACTCCCAGAGATGGTTAATGTCAAAATTGTGGAGGAGCTGGTGATTGGGAACACCAACTTCGAGACACCAAGTTCGAGACATCAACCCCGACATAGACCACAAAAATACACAAAAATGGCCCCGGGATATGTCCCTACAAAAACTTGCAATTTGTGTGGTGCCCACATTATATTTCAGAGGTGAATCTAGATGATTGTAGGTCAAACAATCATATCCCCCCTCGAAAAAGAAAAATGAATGTAGCCAATATACCACATCTGACCAAAAAGAAATTGATTTCGAGTTTCCTAGACTGGTTTAAACTGGTTTCCTAAACGTGACCTGGGTTTTTTAAAACAAAAACTGTGGTGCCTTTGGTACCCTCTGGTTCACGTTTACATAACGAACTGGAAAATCACCATTTTCTAGCTGGGTAAATCAACTATTTCTATCACCATGTTCAATAGCTATGTTAGTCATTGCCAGAGAGTTTTCTTATTATCACCAAAATACAGATGTACAACAATTTTCCATTCAATAGCTATGTGGCTGTTTACCAGAGGCTATCTCTTAACGTGACCTTCCCCGCCTGGTCTTCGCGTGGCTACCGTCACTGTTCTCGCCACGGTGCCTGTGCCTGCGGTGCCTGTGGCCACTTCGCTGGTGGCGGCCTCAGTACGTCCATTTTAAGCCGGGTATCCTATAAACCATAGGAAAACCATAGGAAAACCATAGAAAAATGGAGGTTTACCCTCTGGTAATGACTAACATAGCTATTGAACATGGCCATGTATAGTTGATTTGTCCCATTAAACATTGTGATTTTCGATAGCTATGTTGGTTTACCGGAGGGTAATGATATTAACCAGCTGGGATGATGGATGATAATGGTTTTAACAGTGGTCTATGGATGGTGAATAATGGATAATAATGGTTATAATAATGATGGTTAATGGATTGTTGATGATTAAGAATGGTTAATTATGATGGTTAATTATGGTTAAGGATGGTTAAGGATGGTTATAATAATGATGGTTAATGAGGGTTATAATAATGATGGTTGATTATGGTGTTAATAGTGGTTAATGGATGGTGAATAATGGATAATAATGGATAATAATGGTCATTTTTTTGATATGATACCCTCTGGTAACATACAGAAAACTATGGAAAATCACCATCTTTGAATAGGTAAATCAACTATAAATGGGGTATGTTCAATAGCTACGTTAAATTCCCAGAGGGTAACCAGTATTAACCCATATAATGATATCTGGGCTATCCCCATGATATATAATGATCCAAATGGTCGTATCATACTTATATATCCATGTCATGTTGTATATATATATGTATGTATATGTATATATATACCCATATATGTATGTATGTATGTATATATATATATATCCCCATGATACTTACTCTTATATCCCCATCTTTCTGGGCAAATTATAATGATTCACTAACCTGAAACTTGCGGCCATTTTGGGATGATTCCCCTTATTAACCATGATTCCAGGCTTCGGGAGAACAGTGAGGTCGTTATGATTTGCCCAGATGTATGTAACATGTATCATTGCATGATTTGATAGATGTTGAGAGTGTATGATCATTAACAAAATACATTCATATCTTTTTGTTGGGTGTTTTTTCTGTTTGTTGTGTATTTCTATAAATATCATATCTAGATTCTATGGTTTATGGCGTTATCAAGTTGGATCATCCCATGGCTAACCCTCTGGTAATGACTAACACTTCGTTATGGAACATGGTGATAGAAAGTTCGTGGATTTACCCATGATTTACCTATTAAAAATGGTGATTTTAACCATAGTTATGTGATTTACCCATGGAAAAATGGTGGATCTTTCCAGTTCGTTACGTTTACACATTGACCAGAGGCGAAAAGTTCAACGCTGGACATGTTGGCATTTGCGTCACGAATTCCTCATCTGTGTCCACTGTGTCCAAGAGTGGAGGGGGGGGGGTCCAGGTTCCAATCTCCTCGCACTCAATACTACTAAAGAAGTCAATCCTTCACATGGAATCTCTAGACTTTCCGGAACCGGTCATTGAAACCTCTTTATGCAGCCTTCCAAAGTTTCCAACACCTTCATCTTTACCGCTCAACGTTTGAAACCTTCTCGAATCTTTAGCTGGAAGGCTCTGGGGACCTCTGAAATGCAATTCACCCAAACTCCGCATTGATTTCAAAGCCTTTCAGAAGCTTCCAGATCCCTGCACGATTCCACACGATTCCTCAGAACCTTCCAGCTAGATCAGTTGGGAGCAAAAATTCCATCACAGATCCATTTGAGCCAGGAAAAATACCCCTATCCCATCCCATTCTACTGGTTGCTTCATAGTTATGTCTAGCATCGTTTATTGCAATCCCCATTCAACCAGATAGTTTTTTTCCTCATGAATAACCTATCAACTATGAAACTATGATATGTTTAATGGCTCAGTTGGGTCCCCAATATCTAAGCGAAAAAAAAATATGAGTATATTTCCATGTCAATATATTTTCTTCTGGCTCCATATATACTCTAAGTAAATATTGCCAATCCTCATATAATCGAAAAAAAAAAAAAACATAATATGTTCCAATCCTCATATAATCCCCATATATAATCTGTGTCCAACCGGAAAAAAAAAAAAATGGTGCCATACGGTGCCCGGGTGCCCGTGCCCGCGTGGGCACCGTCACAATCTCAGTGGCCTCCTCAAACTCCTGTGGATGTGCACATTAGTCTAGCATTTCTGGCATATCTGGAGTATAGGCAGAAATATATCTATATATTATATGTATAATTATATATATATATATATGGGGATGGGTCAAAACCCTGGTACCTAGTGAACATCAAAATAGCTGGTAAATGGATGTTCATCCCACTAAAAATGTATCTATAGGTATTGACCCATACCCATATATATATATATATATGTGCTGACATTTTATCTGACATTCTATGTGACATCTTGCACTCGCAATTGAGGTCCGGCAGTGCCCACTGAGATCTGGAGCTCGCAGTTGACGCAGAGGCGGAGTCGTCGTCGGAGGTCGTGCCGGAGGCGGAGGCGGGCAGCTCTCAGAAAAACTAGAGACCCTCAACCGGCACGGATCTGACCAGCAAAAATGATCCTTTAACGTTAATACTGGTTGATACTGATAGTGATATGCCATAAATGATCATTATCCACCATTAATGGAATATTATTCATGCATCAAACATGTGAATTTAGCCTTGAAAATTGAGAACATGACTTTGCCCTTGAAAGACCTGGGATTCAATCAACGTGTATTTCGGATGAAACCGGCAACTTTGGACTTTTGGTCAGCAAACAAATGTGCATGTCAACCAGCCCCGAAATTAGAAATTACCCTCTGGTACCTATGGAAAATCACTATTTTTGATGGGTAAATCCACTATAAATGGCCATTTTCAATAGCTATGTTAAATTACCAGAGGGTATATGAAATTATATTTAAAAAAAACAAACTGCCGGATGAAAACGCTGCTTGTTTGCCTTCCATTGATGTGAGGATCAGCAACCCCACTTCGTATCAGCCTCTGATGGCATGCCCAGCCCTCTTTTTTGCGTCCTCCGGAGCCATGGTGGGCGAAGGCCTTAGCCAGGTATCTTTGCCAAAGTCTCTGACCATCTCTGACCCCTCCTTTGGATCACTGGGCATCCCTGCACAAAGGTAGGCACTGGCATCTCAGAGGGCGACACTGGAAGACTGGAACCTGTGCCAAGCTTCGCCGTCCACATTGGACACAAAATGGACACAAAATGAATAGGTAAATTGGTGATTGACCGATTCGCCAATGAATTTAGGGGTACAAGTACCCTTTTTTCAGACACGCCCATTCTTTGCCGACGTGAGGTCACTGGAATTTAGCCAACATGTGGCCATCAATCTGTTTGCCAACTGTCCCATAGTGGTTTCCAAATCATGTAGGTAGATAGATAGATAGGTAGATGGATAGGTGGATGGATAGATAGATAGATACAGTAGATAGATGGATAGATGGATGGATAGATAGATGACTGCTAAAATAAGTGTCCAATCCCATTGTTTCTGTATCATTTCTCGGCTCCCAGACTGAAGCGACTGCTGCCCAATTGGCCACTACTTGCTGCCGGCCGGGGGGGCCGCAGCTCAGCCTGTTCAGCCTGGGGCTGCAAGGATGAACAACAAATGCTAAGCAAATTTCAACCAAAATGAAATCACAATGTGCCAAAATCTGCAAAAGTGAGTCAAACATGTGCAGGGGAGACTTGAAACATGACAAACATGTCAAATCATGGGCACAAATTCGGACAAATATCGAAAACACATTGGAAAAACACGGACAAAAATATCGACACATGGGAAGCAATGGTGAATGGTGAATGGTTGGTGTTGTCTCAAATAATTGTTATTGATGTTCTATCCCTAAAAATGGGAGGACGAGGAGGATGACTGTCAGGATGAGGAAGATGAGGAGGAAGATAAGGAGGAGGAGGAGGAGGTTGTTGTTGTTGTCGTTGTTGTTGTTGTTGTTGATCATGATCATGACCATGAGTCATACCCACATTGGTAAAACTCATTAAAACTCGTATGTAGCAAACCGAAACGGTGGATGTAACCAACAAGAACCAGGGATAAAGGATAATATTCATACAGGATGGGCCCCCCAGTTATAAGTTGCTTTATAAACCATTATAATCCCCATTAACTATAGTTATATCTACCATAAACCATAGTTAAGCCACTTATATCGCAACTGAACGCTATCTGAAGGGGGCCTCCAGGAAAATCGTGTAGAACTTAGATACAGCAACTGGGCCTAAATAACCCACCACTGCGCCATCTCAACGCCCGGATTTTTTTCAGGATCCCCAAATTGGTGGGTCCCATCCCGGGATGTCCACCACTGATCAACTGATCATCTGAGTGGTGTACCTGTTGGACAAAAAAAAAAGTATGGCGAGTTGATGGATGAAATACCCTCTGGTTATGTCAAAATAGCTATTGAAAATGGCCATAGAAATAGTGAGTCTTCCCCATGAAAAAAATTGTGATTTTCAATAGTTATGTTAAATTACCAGAGGGTAATCCATGAAATTCAAGTGATCATAAAAATCATCCATGAATTGCCACTTCAAATTTCATGGATGAAAAATTAAACCCCGTTGTACAAAAAAAAGCTCAATTTAATCCCCAAACTAATCATCAACCAACGGACCAACTGGGTCTTTTGAAACTGCTCACTTGGCTACCAGTCAATTCTCTATATATATATATATATATAGGTGACTGCCAAATGGGTTTCCAAATCTATTGCCAATCCAATGCACCAATATATCTATATATATATATACACAGTTGCTATTATACATATGTAACTAGATCATTCACTAATTGAAAATCAACAAAAACCTGGATAAATCATAATCTTACTGGTGCTTAGCAGGGAATGGATGGGTTGCTGGGGGTTGCTGGGGGTTGCTGGGGGTTGCTGGGATGACATTACGAATGTGATGACTGGGATCATTCCCGAAAAATCCCTACGTCAGTAAGCACCAGTGTCAGGAATTCACCAAGGTGAAATTTGTTGGCCAACCTTCCAGGTCCTAAAAAAGGTCCGCCATAGCGTGGCGTCACGGCACCTCTTCCTCGTCTCTGAAAGCCGACGTGGGCGATGGCATCTGGGTGGGCACCGGAAGATCCGCGGGTGACGACCTGGTGACGTCATGGGATTTTATGGTGATGTCAGGGGATTAATTTTTATGGTGATTCATAGAGGATTTAGTCTACAAAAATGAATCAGTAACCTCTAGCAATTCAAGAGTGATGGAACCCATGGCCTATCTAGTTCGATGATTTCCGCATTGAACGTGGTGATTTATCATAGCAAACTGGTAACCATATTGATGAATATTGATGGTTGATGTTTTTAGGGGATATGCGGAATATGAACTCACAAAAATCGATATATGATGAACTGATGGGATATTATCAACATGTTTTGGGCGTTTGTTCAGAAGGGATGCCCCGTTGTACGGCCATTTAACAAAGCCACACAATGACCATGTAGATTCAGATGTGTATATATATATATATATACATAGTGAAAATCATATCTGATGGAAATAAAGCATGTACTTTACAATCATATATGATGGAAGATTTATATAGAATCAGTTGTGCCTAAATAAGTCAAAAATCCAAGGGGACCGTCGGTTTTTGGATTCGAGTCACACTTTGACCTGCACAGATCCCGGGAACAAAAATCAGGATTTGACCACAATAACAATATAGACTATATAGATAACAATAACAATAGATATATAATGATATATAGACTATATTGAATGTAACCTATATATATATTATAAAAATATTGAGATATATATTATTATTGAGTCTAATATAACAATAACAATATATAGTATAACAATAACAATAACCACCAAGTTTATAACCGGTTATTAATGGTTATTAATGTTGAATGACTATACTGGTTGGTGGTTGACCTACCATCTTGAAAAATATGAAAGTCGGTTGGGATGATGACATTCCCAATAGATGGAAAAATAAAAAATGTTTGAAACCACCAACCAGATATAGATAACAAATGACAACAACAAGTAAATTCAAATGAGTTTAAGTGCGTAGATGGCTGGGAATAGGGAACAATATTCAATGATTCAACCAGCAAAATCTCTTGTGTACCCCAAGGTGCACGCCAAGGTGTACCCCAAGGTGCACGCCACTCGCTGGCTAACTCCCTATTCTTTCTGGTGAAATTCCCCTTCTTGCAGGTTGCCTTAGTCCCCATGGTTGCTGGCCAATTCCCCATTTTGCATGTTTCTCCCTTAAGTATGCTTAAGTCCCACTTTGGTCATTTAGATCATCTTAGAGTCATACTAAATCATCAAAAATCATATTGAGTTCTGTTACCATATGTTACCCATAGCGTTTTCATCATCATTTCCTGGAGCTTTTGTCTCCTGAGCCTCCGCACGGCACTCCGCGCGAGCGTTTGGGCTTCGGCGGCGTGGGCGGGCGCCGGGCGCCCCCAGGCAACGTGCCCGGCGTGGGCGCCGTGGGCACCGAGGGGTGCGAGCCCGGGGGCACCGTGGGCTGCGAAGTGATGCTCTCAGTGGGCTCAGGCACCTCAGGCACCACCTCGATTTCCAAGTGCCAAGGCACTTACCGCAGTAGAAAATTTGGGGCATATGTAATGCATATGTGATAGATAAGAAACTTGATCGAACTTCATCCCATGTCATCTGATCCAAAGTATACTATACATAGTGAACTTCATCCCATTTAAGTTCCAAAAAAATCTTGTGAATTCTTGGCACGAATTGATATGTTTGATGGCCAGAAGATTACGTCACTGACCTACTGAACCAAGTTTATTGGAAATGTAATTTGCCAGTGATCTGTAGTGATCTATTCTTTTGATTAGGGCATTGCATATCCAGTCATCTACCTTGCTATCCAGTGGTTTTTCGGTGATTCCCAAGAGGGTAGCGAGATAATTAATTCATCCATTGTGATTGTGGCTTTGTCCAAGATGCAGTGGTCTATCATCATGTTCTCGATAAAAAGAATCCCCCCCTTTCTGGACAACCCCCTAGGGAATAGTATGTGCTCATGCCGCTCATGCCCATACTCAGAAGCACCCGATCAACCGAGCAAATGAAAAGGACAAGCAGTTGACACAGCTTTTGCAAAAGAACTGACATCAGTTTGGTATGGGTCAAAATTGATATTCCAATGGAACCACCCAATTGGGTAATGTTTAGCATTCCACGATATTAAACAAACCATTTTGGGGAAGTCATTTGACCAAATCTGGTGAGTTAGTAGAAAATGGTGCCAAAGGGGGGCAGATCTCAGATTTTTTCATGCTCCTTTCCGACACTTTGCACCTGCTCTTTGCACCTACTATGTTTTTTCGGATGCGCTGGCTTCTCATTCAACACCTTACAAAGTACCCTCTGGTAAACTAACATAACTATGGAAAATCACCATTTTCAATGGGTAAATCCACTATTTCTATGGCCATTTTCAATAGCTATGTTAGTCATTACCAGAGGGTACCCTTTGCAAATGAATTCCTGTGATATAACACTTCTCTATCGAGCCTGTGCCAAACACAACCGTTCGAAATCGGCATCGAGCCAGGACTCACCACAGTTGACGGATGGTGATGAAAAAATCGGTTTACAGATACCCAAACGACAAGTTGCTGGTGAAACAGTCTAGAAATCATCAAAATCGCTGGCATGGCTGGAGCTTCACTCCGAGACAATATGGGAAGTTCCAACAAATCTCCCCCAACCTATGGCTGTCGTCTCCAAATGGCTTTCTCTGAAAATCGAAAAATCGCGAAAAATCACCATGCGATCTTTTGGATCGTGGTTGATCATCTCTCATTTTGTGGGCAAGGCCATCATGATCATGATGTTTGCAATATCCCATTCATATCCCATGGACCGGTGAGGTGAACAAAAAGCCACAGCTGCCCATGTCTTGGGTCCAGACCCCTACGGTTTCGGTGGGATGATCCTTGGCCATGTCGAGTCACGCTGATCTGCATCTATCCACCCATCCAGGAAGATTCATCTTTATACGGAGGTGTCCAATTCATGAGAGTACCCCCAAATCATCCAAGTAAAACCATGACTTATATTGATTTACTGAAAGCCATGGTGACTTGGAGATCAAGTCACCATGACCTAAGAAACATGAAATCCCATGAAAATTGCTAGTCTCTAGAGACTCTAGTGGCTTAAACCCACATGAAACAAAAAAAGATGAATCCCCAAGCCCCACTCCATTGCCACGATCTGAGGCACCAAGTGAAGGTCATCCGTGGGGGAAGGCCTGAGAGCCAAGAAGATCATCCGTGGCTTAACATGTATAGTGTATATACATACACATAATATATGGGTCTATATATAAATATATAATATATGTATGTATACACATTTACATATTTTCATATATATATATACATCGATACATATTCTGCGACATATTTACTTTTGATATTTTGACAGCGGATATGGCTTGAAATTCAGGCTTGCCGGTTCTTCGAAGGATTGCTGTGAGGCAAAGCCGCCAACAAAAACGGAGTGTTTGAGCAACCCAAAGAACGAGATTAACCAATGGGCAAACCCCTAAAAGCATTGGTCTTGTGTACATCAACTCCAAAGATATTGGGGTATCAAAAAAAATGCTGACAATAACATGTGTTCCATTGATGATCTATCTTAGCAGTGGAACCTCATGCAGCCCTCAGGTATCCCTTGCGCCAAGAAAATCTTTGGCACGCGACACATAGGTTGGCACTGGCATCTCGGAGGGCGATGGAACACTGCTTCCTGTCCGAGAAGAATTGTGACTGTTTAACGTGGACAATGTGCATAAAGCCATTTCAGAGAAAATGTGCATAAAGCCATTTCATAATCAATAAAATTCAATAGTAGTAAAAACAATACGCTAAAAAGCAATGTGTATATAATAATAAAATAAAATTGCAATGAAAAATCCTGGACCCCAATATACCCCGATCTGATTCTTAGCAATTACATCAAGCATCTAGTTGCATCTTCCAGCAGACTCAATGCCAACTGTGCCCCAAAAAGAGCAGATAGAGTTGGTCAACGGAGTGATGGGATGCACACATCAATCTCAGAGAACACACATGGTGCTGGCACCAGGCATCTCCTCCAAATATGAGTAAGCGTGTACGTATACTCTGTGATTCTGTACATGTGTGTACATACCTGTGCATTGTCATTTACTTGTTTCGATGATTTTCGAAAAGCACGTGGTACTGGGTTTAACCCCCTAAATGAAATAGACAACCTGCCCTGGGTTTGCTGCTGCTGACGTGTAGTACTCGCTGTACTGCATACCGCTTTCGGGAAAAAAAAAAGTACTGGGTTACTTGCAGGATATCAGAAAACAAAATAGACATAAAGAGACTTTGAGCGGAAAATCTGCAGGGAGTTCCCCATACTTGATGGCAAAAAAAAATGGAAGCTCCCCATGGTTTCCTGTTCATCTTCCCTTCATCCGAACTTGCGCCTGGAATCAGTCCACTGCTAAACTGTGGCAAGGGACCAAGTATGGCCTGTGCCGTCGTGGCCAGTGACCACTACCAGCTCTACCCATCAAACTATTGTGGTGGGAACTGTAAGGGGATTCTACCAACCCAAATGGGGAACTGAGCCATCCGAAAAAGAGTTTTACTCACCAAAGTCACTGGCCATCTCAGGAACCTAAATTGGAGGTACCTACCATATATAAGGCCTATATAAGGTCTATTTTCAGGGAATATCCCCACAAAATATGGCCTTATATGGATTTATATGGTACTAACGTACCTCCATTTTAGGATCCTGAAATTCCCATTGACAAAGTGGTTTTAACCATCTTGAAAAATATGAAAGTCGATGGGAAGGATTATCCCATACATTATGGAAAATAAAAAATGTTTGAAACCACCAACCAGCTAGGAATAACTAGTCATACCCCAAGTTGATGGCTCTTCGGGAGCCATCGTTGCAAGCTGTTGGAAAAAAAAAAACTGTCAAACCCGGCGATGGAAAATCTCCACATCATACAAGGTGATGCCCCGAAGATAGCTAAGTTGGTTTATAACTCCAATAACTAGGACTTATCGTAGATATATGTATAGTTAATGGGGTTATAAACCAACTTACAACTCAGGGGGCACCACATCATAATTCAATCATAGATTGTTTTATCCCTAAAAAACAACTTAGTTGGGATTTTGCATTGCCGGGTTACACTAGCAGAGGGTATCTTCCAACAGCTTTCTCAAGGTCGATCATCTTGTTACTCTCGTTTTAAAAATGCCATAATATATTGTTCTTGGATATATCTACAGTATATACCCATCCAACATGTGTTCCTCACTTATCCCGAACATTAATGGGTTATACAATGATTTGTGTTGGTGAACCCACAGATTTTTGGTTGTTAATCATCGTTCGCCATGTTTATAAAACACACAAAATGATTCCATATCCACAGTCGGAAAAAAAAGGAAACAAGAGTCTTGCAATTCCCAGGTATATAGGTTTGTCTGAAAATGGGATGCCCCCAGGACCGCTGGATTGCAGCAACACTTCATGTTCCGATTTATACATTGGCAAACTTGTAGAAAACCCACCTTTTGCTCATGCTAAACCCACCAATGTGATCCCACCACCAAAATGTGAATCCTCCAAAAATCGCCAGTACCTTTTTTTTCATTGTGGAATGACCATCCCCCATTTTTTGTGTATATTGATCTACCCCCAAATGGCGGGTTTAGCCATGACAATCCGACGTTTGGCCATGGAACATGGCCAATGTTTTTGACTGAAAATATGGTCCCCAAAAATTGGATGGAAACCAAATACGAAATATGGACCAAATCATTCTTTGGTTAATGGTTAATGGTTCAAAATTTTATATATTTACCAAATACGGAAACCAATATTTAATGGTTATAATCATGGTTTTAATCCAAATTGCGTGTGTGTTGCAAAGACACCAAGTTGAACAAAGCCATCTACCCCAAGAACTCTCGGTGATTTCCCATAAAATGCACACATCTGCTGAGTTCAGAAGGAGCTTTCCTAAAATGGGGCTACCACAACATGGGTGTACTAAGTCATGGTGTAATGACTTGGATGGTATTGGAAACCCCCATGGTATTGGAAACCAAAAAAACCCTCAGGAAAACTCACAGTTTACTATTGAAAATCACCACTTTTAGTAGGTAAATCAGAGAAGTAACTAAGTTCTAGGTCATTTTCATAGCTATGTCAAATTTCCAGAGGGTATCCATAGATTCGCCTCTTCTTCCACTTCCCCAGGTGAGGTGGGTGATGGCCGCTGTGTAGGCACTGGTAAGTCCCCAGGCGAAGTCCTGTGATTTCGACGTCGAACGAGCACGGATCAATGGGATATCAATGAGGATCTCATGGAAAATCATGGGATGTCCCATGGAAAAACTCACTTCCACTATTGAAATATATATATATATACATGTATATATATATAACATATATATATATACATACATATATATATATACATGTATATATATGTATGTATATATATATATTATATCATGTCCCGAAACTTGAAAACAATGGAGATCATGGGGATATGCCTGCCAAAATGGGTATGAATGCTATTTCATGGTAATGCTTTGGGGCCAAAGAAGATTGGCAATGCTTTCCGATCTGGATGTAGGATGAACCCACAAAATGGCAATGTTGAGAGCAACAATCCTTCTGTCCCAGTGCATTTCCATGGGTACTTGGTTCAATATGTCAGTTGCAATGCGACAACTTCTCAAATCAATTCATGCTGTTCATGATTGAAATGTCCAGAACAGCATTAGGGTCTTGATCCACATCTATATGAAAATGGTTCTGGAGCAATCTATTGAAATTCCGTTTTGCATAGTTTAGCTGCATCTTGTAATTTAATTGATTGGGAAAATTGGTGGCGAAATGTTGCGAGTTCCTGTACCCAAAATGAGAAACAGCCTGACCATCTTCCCATTCTCCGTACATTGTACACGCAGTTTCGATGCAACTGTTTTGAGATTGGTGTGCCGTATCAAGCAACCACAGGTATCTCCATTTCAAAGAATGCCCACCACATCAATAAGACATAATAAAACCTGACATGTTATACATAAGTGAACAAAGTGCCCCATGTGTGTGTGTGTATGTATACATATATATATATATATTAATATATATATATATACATACACATGTAATCTGTATAGACAGTTCCATATAACTCATTGAAATAATGTTCCAAATCAATTTCTTGGGACCTCTAGGTCAGATTGCTAGCTTCAAAGTTCACCCATTCACTTACCACAGTTTACATATCACAAAACAAAGGTGTTATAGTTCATATCTATACCTCATGAAATTGTTCTTTATTGCAAGCTATAACATGTTACGAGTACAACACCACAAAGTGCACGGCTTACCCCATGAATTCCTAGTTATATTATGTTCCAAGCGTTCATCACCACTTCCCCGATCTCCCCCGGGTTATCCGAGTTCCCCCACGGTGCCACTCCCGGCTGTCGGCGTCGCGTCGATGTGGTCAACGTGGGGACCGTGGTGACCCGCGACAAAGTCGAAGGCATGGTACTAGTGACCTGGGTGAAAATTTTCAGCAACTGAATGGAAGACACCTGAACTCTGCATGTTTTTTTATGAACAAATTATCTATAAATGATGTTCAATTGATATGTTTGATTAAGCATACTGGTTGGTTCATAGGATTCCCCTCTTCCTGGCTGATAATACCCGATTAACGTTGGATAGTGTGTGTGTATATAATATATCATCATATATCATAACCCCATATAACATCATATAATCATCAATCAATCGGGTTTTGAACACTGTCCAATTTACCTGTGGATGTCTCTGAAAACCGGGGATCGATCAACCCCCAATTCTTGGGTCTGCGAAAACAATAGGTTTTTCATCTGAAAATGATCAAACAAATTATAAACCATCAATTTTGGGGCATGTGTTTTCAACAACAAATGGGATGGCAAACACCAATGCCAAACAACTGCCTGGCTATTCCGGCTAGCGGCGAACAACACAACTGTGGGAATCAGGAAACAAAAAAAGGTGGATCACCCACCACAGTGTATCCATCTGTAGATTTCTATCCATTTGCTGTGGATTTTTTTTTAGGTGGCCATGAAAAAATCCCCAGAATGACTGTCAAATCACCCCAAAGTGTTTCACTTTTGTACGATTTGCTGAGGCAGCATTTTTACCCAAAATGGAGATTCAAGCAACGAAACAAGTGTTTGTGACCAGCCAGGATTTGCCATAAAAAATTGGGAGCCAACCAAAATATGGGCAGAAAAAGATCTGGATCCATGGATCGACCATGGGATTTTCGAGTCTGCAGAGGGTTACAGAAAGGTGTCCAGATTCTGCTTCACAAGGGTTGAGAGTTGAGATTTTTGGGACTTCCCATGGGCCATGAATGGGTTGCGGGATAACCTGCCCAGCTCCATGCTCCAAGCTCCCCAACAGCTTCTGTGGGCTCCTGTCGGAGGTAGGGATCTCACCGCTGAGGTTCCTAAAGTGTCCTAAACTGATCTAGTTGGGTCCGACTTGGGGATGTCAACCAACAAAACCATCGTAAGAACACCAAAAGCAAAGACACTCATTACATGAAACCTTGTTTTGGGCTAACTATGTGACAAATCTGTTGATAAAACAAACAAATGGCAAGGGGTACGCGGCCTTCAAATGAAAAACCTGCGATTGAAGTTTGAGACCCTTTGTCAGAAACAATCCGTTTTTCCGGATCAAAGTCCATTCTGTGAATCTGTGCTTGTTGGAGACATTCATCATTGCCAAATCACCCCAGCGCAGGATTGCGAACGTCCCTCGTTGCAAAAACATGTTTTTTGGGCAGGGTCATCTTAGAGCAATGTCCAAATCAGATGTCATTAGCCCCAAAATACCCCAAAGAAACATGTTGAAATGTTGGACTGTTAGACCCTTGAGATGTGTTCACCACAGAAACTCCATTTCCAAACAGTTGATACACCACCCACCCAGCATTTCTCCCGTGGCGGAGGCAGTGTTGCTTCTTCAACGTAGTCTTCGTCACCTGGTCAATTTCGTCAATCAGTAGCGGGATGAGCTGGAGATTTTTCATGGTGTCCTATGAAAAATGACTTGCCCGACTTACCCTCTGGTTATGACTAACGTAGCCATAGAAAATAGCCCATAGAAATAGATGGTTTACCTGGGTTTACCTATTAATAGCATGATGATTTTCCATGGCTATGTTAAATAACCAGAGGGTAATTCTTCTGCTAAACAATCAAATGCGACTGATGGAGGATCATGTAGATATCAGATCTAGTTGGGTCTCCGGGTGACAAAATGTGAAGGCACAAGCGATCGCATTGAACGTCTTCGGCAAGAATTTTGACCTACAGCCACCTCTACATGTGGAAATGCGCAAGCACAAACTCGGGTCCTTGGGTACCCTCCGGTAAACAAACCTCGAAATTGCAAAATAAACCATCTATGTGTACAGTAAGGGGTTCTCCATTGTCAGAAAGGTAGAGATCATCTCCGAATCACCGATATAAAATATGACCCTCCATCAGCTCACTAACAGCTCGATCAGCTGTGGAAAACCCCATCATTTGTAGATCAGCGAAGTGGGCTTTTCCCATGGCTTTTCTCACACCTTCCTCTGTGGGCGAAGGCAAGTCTGTGGGCACCGGCAACTCCTGGGCAAATCGCCGTGGGACCGAGGGAAAACCCACAGAAATGGAGTTTTTGGATGGATGGGGCCCCCCTCAGCGTTCAGTTGAGGTATACAGTAAGTGGCTGATTTCTATGGTTGATTAGGTACATATAACTATACTTAATGGGGTTTACAAACCAGCAAACACAACTGGAGGGCACCATCCTGTGGGAAAATCGGACTTGAAAACCTGGAATTGAAAGGGAGCTCCCTGGCTGATGGGACTCGGATTTCATACCACTGTAGTAATACTACTCCCATTTCAGAAACCCCGATTCCATGTGGGAAGATTTCAGCAAACCGTCCGTCCGATTTTGGGGTGTGTGTTCACCCATACCCATATACCATATATCATATGCATAATATACATATATACAAATATTATGTACTGTATGTATATCAATATGTATATTTATATATACGTACATATAGATATAGATATAGATATAGATATAGATATTAGATATTAGATATTAGATATTAGATATTAGATATTAGATATTAGATATTAGATAGTAGATATTAGATATTAGATATAGATATATGATATAGATTCGATATAGATATTTGTGTGGATGTCAGGATGTCCCTTTAGCACTTTTGAGACTTCTTGTGACGCCTCCCATATCCTGCAGACTTCCAAGAAACCGTGGGTGAGGCTGGTGGCATGCTGCCCTCCAAGCCCGAAGTGCTGGTGATAAACGCGCTACTTTGGACCTGGAGCTGGTCGTGTTCAGTCATGGGATCTAGGCTAACACGCGACTCATGTTGTGTTAATGATTTGCTGTAAATGTATAGTCACCCCGCCAAAAAGATAGTTGGTCAAATCCTACTGGATATTTCGGGGGCTACCCTCTGGTAATTTAACATAGCTATTGAAAATGACCATAGAAATAGTGGATTTTCCCATGAAAAATGGGATAATTTTCCATAGCTATGTTAGTTGACCAGAGGGTACTATTAAAAAACTGGCTTTCTTGGATGTTCCAACTATAAAAAGCCCCTGGGATTCGTTGCAGATTTGACCGGATGGCGCCTGTGGCATGGGCCGCATTGTTGGAGCCTCCATTTCAGCATCCGATCCAAAGGGTGTGGACTGGTTGGTGATTACAATGGGGTACAGTACAGGACATTATCTGCTTGGTGGTTGACCTACCCCTCTGAAAAATATGAGTGAGTAACAGTTGGGATGATTTTCCATTCCCAACATGATGGGAAAGTCATAAAAGTCCATGGTTCCAGTCACCACCAACCAGTTATATACTGTAACCAAAATCCGGCTAATTCCATCAATCATCTGGCTGGTTTCAACGAGTTTCAAGCCATCCCCAAAAAAAAAACAAAGCCCTCGGCATGGCGGTCCCGTGGCACCTCCTGGAACTCCATATCACCTGACGGGGATCCGTTGATGCGTGGCAAATCTGTGGCTTAGAACTGTTAAAAATTGGATCATGTCATTCATCAACATATTGACGATTAAATTTATGATTAACCACGATTAATCACCATTAGTGGTTAGATGATGAATGGTTAAATCAATAGACAATAATCATGTCGGTTCTTCCTTCGTGTATCATTAATGGTTAGATGATTAATGGTTAAATCAATAGACAATAATCATGTCGGTTCTTCCTTCGTGTATCATTAATGGTTAGATGATTAATGGTTAAATCAATAGACAATAGTCATGTCAGTTCTTTCTTCGTGTATCATTATATAATGGTTAGATGATTAATGGTTAAATCAATAGACAATAATCATGTCGGTTCTTCCTTCGTGTATCATTAATGGTTAGATGATTAATGGTTAAATCAATAGACAATAATCATGTCGGTTCTTCCTTCGTGTATCATTAATGGTTAGATGATTAATGGTTAAATCAATAGACAATAATCATGTCGGTTCTTCCTTCGTGTATCATTAATGGTTAGATGATTAATGGTTAAATCAATAGACAATAATCATGTCGGTTCTTCCTTCGTGTATCATTAATGGTTAGATGATTAATGGTTAAATCAATAGACAATAATCATGTCGGGCCGGCGACAGCAGCGCCTCCAAGCGGGTGCCGGCGGGCCGTTCTACGGTGCAGAATGCTGCTGCAAAGGCTGGGTTGTGTCAAGGCGCACTGCAAATCGCCTTAGACATGCCTTGAATGGAAACGGATAGGTGATGCTTCTTGCACATTTCAGCATGTGGTTGCTGACAGTTTTGACAATTTTGATTTGGAGTGGATGTGTCGGCATTTGTCTGGGTCTGATCCACGGTTTGTGGAAAAACCAGTACATGTGCCGTGCAAGATGGATTGGAGGACGTCGCTATAAGCTTCCTAGACTTCGGTACAGACCATGTAAAAGTCAAGGAGAAACAGATGTGCAAGCGGAACATACTTGTTTTCCAAGCCTCCGAGGTGGGGCCGTCACAGGTGGCTCAAACAAACTGCTGGCAATTGTGTCCAAGTGCTTAGCAGAATACGAAAGTGAAAGTGATCCCGCTGCAAATGGTGTGGATAGTGAACAACAGTTGCTGGAGGAACTACAAAAGCTGGTTCAGAGACAGCCAAAAAATTTGTTGCAAGAGCTGAAAGCACTGGTGGCGAAGTTCACTCGTGCAGAAGCTGAGAAAAGACACAGTCACTGGAATGGTGCCTCATTGCAACCCAAAAACGATTGGGTTACAGTTGTCCGTGGCAAGCCAAAAAAACCCACGAACGCAGAGAAAGGACCGGCAGTGAACCAACAGCTGCCGGGAAAGTTGAGAGCAGATGACTGGAATGCCAAGATAGCTCAAACGTCAGATGAGCTTGAGAAGCTGTTGCAGACAGAGAAAAAAGTTGTGCTCGCTCCTGTGAAGAGCGATTTTGCGGCCGACATGTGGGCACTTCTTAAAGCTTTCCCAACTGCCAAAGCCACACTTGTTTTGCCAGAGTCCTTTCCGGTGCATGAGTTGTCCACTAGTTTAGATTCCACAAGCTGCATTGCGAGAGTGCCTATGCTGGTGCGAGGAGCTATTGTGCAACCGAAAGTTTGTTTGCTGAAAAAAGGAGGCGCGGATGCGCCGCAATTTGACCGGAAAGAAGTGTCAATCAAAAGTGATGGGAAAAAAGTTGAGACGGTAGTTTTGCGAGCAGCCACCCACAGAGATTTGGTGGCCAATTTTGAAAGATTACAGCGAAATCCCGGACAATCTGTCCGCTCCTGGATTCAATGGTCAAAGAGTTGTCCCTTAACTCAAGTTGGGGACACATGGGGATGGAACTTGTCAGGTCAAATCGTTTCTGGTGTAATGAGAGATGACCTGAGAGCAGTCCCTGCGCTACTGCGAGCTAGTGGCCAACGCCATCAGTGTCATCGTTGGTATTTTGAGCCACTGCGTTTTGATGCTCCTTTGTCCAAGCCATTTGACAAACTCCCTGAGACACATTGGGTACAGGATGTGAGTTTGACTATGGAACAGAAAGCAGCCAAAGCTGAAAAACAAGCAGTTTTGTCTGACCTGGGTGTTAGACTTGGCACCCGACATGTAGGTGTACGGCAGATTCCTTCTTCAAGCAATTCGCCAAGGCCTCGTATTTGGAAAGCCACTGGGATACCCCGCTTTATGGGGGTGGAAGGCATTGAAAACGTGCTCACTTCTGCGGGTTTTTCTGATTTTGAACCTTTGGAAAAATTCCGTTGGAGACAATACACTGGATATACTTTCAAAGCTTTGCGGTCTGACGACAAAGATGTTTTGACTGTCAAATATGGTGAGACTCCCATTGAAGTCTGTACTCAAGGGCGACGACAGCAGCAGCGTCGTGTGACTATGCCTTTGCCAGGTGAACGACGTGTCCATTTTGGTCGCAAAGAGCACACTGCATCAGCGGTGGAAGTCGAAGAACAAGAAGTGCCTGCTACAATTCCAGACACACCCATGGAAGAAAAGGATGAGGACGATGCTGGAATGGAGGGAGCTACAAAACGAGCTCAAAGCACTTCACCTGAGAAACAGCCACCGAAAAAGCTGAAGGCTGATACCAGCCTCCGAGGTTTTACCGAAAGAAGCAACCCTGGAAATGGCGACTGCCTTTTTTGGTCGCTCTCACAAAGTTTGGAACATGCAGGCGCCAGTAGCAAAACGCCTTTGCAATGCCGAGCAGCATGTGTTGCACACCTCACCAAGTATGCTGAGGCTTACAGTCGGCACTGGGATGGCTGTCACCCTCAGCAGGGTGACCATGTTATGCAAGAGCGCAAGTTCGAACAGTACTTGGAAGAAGTGGGAAAACCCCAAGCCTGGGGCAGTGCGCTTGAAGTCACTGCTTTTTCCAATACGCAAGACAGACCCATCTACGTTGTTTCTCCTGCTGATGACATGGTATATGTTTTCAATCGAAACGGGCAGCGAAAAGCTTTGTTTTTGAAGTATGACAAAAGCAGCCAGCACTACACGAGCTTGATCCCAGACTCTGCTGAGTCGCCACCAAGCTTCACCACTGTGTGCGACGGTCCTCATGTTGGCCTTCGTGGTGCGGCAAAGTCTTCTTCTGCTGGCACAAGAATAAGCGTCCAGAAGAAGCTCAAGCAAAAGCTGGAGACACAGTCAGCTGGAACAAGAACTTCCGTCCGGAAGCGTTTGGGTGGACGAATTCGACCTGGGGAAAATCAGTCCATATCCTCAGCGTTTCATTCTCAAGCACCTCCTCCTTTGACAAGAGGCACCAATGGCCGAGGTCATGATGGCCCTCCAGATTCCCTGAGCGAAGTTTGCACGTGGCACTGTCCTGTTTGTATGCGGACACTCCGAGCAAAGCAGTTCTCTTTGCTATCTAAAAAGCGAAACGGACATATCAGAAATGTTCATCCCAACATGCCAAAGTCATCCTTTCATACTTTGAGGACGCACTATGATCCTGTCCCTACCCGACCTGTTGGTGAACTTCCTCGCCAAGGTGTTTGGATCTGTGAATACTGTGGTCAAGGGCTGCCATCGATGCCTGAGCCCCAAAAGAGGTTGAGCATTACGTGTCACTTCAAGCAATGCGGTCAGGCTCCAAGAAATGCAACAAGGAACACAAATGCAAAGAAAAGAAGACGTAGCAAAGCTGGATGGATGGGACATAATTTCGTCCAAAACTGCAGAGAAGAATGCCGTGTGTACGGGGAAACAACCGGGCACACCCTTGTCTATTGTCCTGGCGATAAAGAGCGTTATTCTACGGTGGTCTGCTCTGCTTGCACGCGTTTCTGGAATTCCCTGGCCGATGTCAAGAGATATGCAGACAAAATCAACAAACAGAAAGGAGTTAAGTGCCCTGGAAACCGAGGCCGCCGTCAACAACTTCGCAGGAAAAGCACTCTTCAATTGTGGTCCAACTACCCTACTTGGAGGCAACGTTTGGCAAAGGCGTGGTGTTTGCTGCCCGAAGAGCGCAACCTTTTGAATTCTGTGCCCAATGACTTTACAAAGGTTGCCCAAGAAAATGGTCACCAAGTTGTTTCGATGCCGGACTTCCGCACAACAGCTGGTTATGGTGTTACCGCATATGCATGCAAATCTTGTGCACAGATGTGGTGTAGTCCAAGTGCGTTCTTTGGAAGAATCAGACAAGGATGCAATGTGAAATGCCCTGGGAAAAAAGGCAGAGCTGTTTTGTTGAATAGCAGAAAGCGGCGGCAAAACTGGCAACAATGGTCACCAAAGCAAAGGAAGCTTTTGACGCAGGCCTGGCGGCTCCAGCGGCATGAGCAAGATGTCTTGAAGCAGCCAGCCCTACAGAAAACCAGGTGGCAACGTAGGCTGGTGGAGGACGGCGACATTGAGGAGAATCCTGGCCCGTGTTGTCTTTTTTGGTGCCTCAATGTCCGTGGTCGTGAAGGTGCTTATCGTTTCCTGGATTTACTGGCAGCTGAAAAGAACAAGCCGCATGTTGTGGCTTTGCAAGAAACAAACATGGATGAGCGTGAAGCCCAGCAGTTTTCACGTTTTGCAATGGCTCGTGGATACAGGTCCTGGCACGTTACTTTACCACCTCGGCTTGATGCTCGTGGAAATGAGCTTCAGAGGCGCGGTGTGTGCCTCTTGGCCCGGAAGGATGTGCGCGCTACGCACCAGTGTGGCAGCTCAACTGAATTTGGCGAATTTTTGGCAGTGGATTTTTGCACTTTCATGGTCATCAATGTCTATCAACGGCCACGCACAGCCGCAACGGGTATGCATTCTGAATTGCATGATGTTGTGACTGCACAGCAACATGGTTTTCCTATTATTATGATGGGTGATTGGAACGAACCTCCTCCTTCGAAGAGCGATGATTTTCTTCTCTGGTATGTGCATGAGGAGGGTCAACCTGTCGCGAGCAGATGGGATGGGGATAGGTGTGTTGACTATCTCCAGACGACACGGTCAGTGGAATGCCTCAACCTGACCTACCGAGATGAGAGTTTTTCTGACCACAAAATTTTGCAGGGTACTTTTACAGCTGCTTGCAATGTGGATCCAGCAATGCGAATGATAGGGACAAGGTCTTTTTTGCCTGGCAATGTGAGTCTTAACGACTGGACAACAGCTCTTGACAAAGCGTGGGAACATGTGAGGGTGCCCCGCGAGAGCAATACTGAACAGGAATGGTTGGAGTTCAATCAAATGGCTGAAGCAGCATCTATGCGTGCATTGGAAAGTTTGAATGTGCAAAAGGCGCGGCCACCTTGCATCCGTCCAAAGGGCAGCCTTCCTGTCTTCGCTGCTCCATCCACTGACGTGGATTTCAAAAGCAACTGCAAAACCTTTCGTTGGCGTAAACTTGCCAAACTGCTTGGTCGCATCAGGGAATATCAACGCCAACTTTATGCTGGTCGAAGTCCTCAACACTTGTTGCAGAACATCAAGCGCACGTGGCCGAATAGCCTTGCTTTCTCTGCTGATTGGACAATCAATGAGCAAAGAGTGGAAGATGAAATGCAAGCCGTTGCTGAATTTGCCAAGCAGCAGAGGCTAGACACTTGGAAGCGGAACATGCTGAAAGGTGGCCGTGAGGCCACAAAATGGTTGAACAATCATGCCAATGTTGTTTCGCCTTCTCTCTTGTATGACAGTGGTGGGCGGCGCGTGTCTACATATGGTCCGAACGATAGCCTTGAGCAACTCAAAGGTTTCTGGGACTCTATTTGGTATCGATACAGCAATGTCGATCTGGACTTCGCTTTGCAGCAGTGGCAGCGGGAGGGGCGCCGATCCCAGTTAGACTCCTTCAACATCAATGCTCAAGATTTGTGGATGAGCGCGCACAAATCTTCTGGTTCCAGCGCGGGACCGGACGGTTGGACTGGAGACGAAGTTGCCGCCTGGCCGCTTCGTGCTTGGCAGGTGTATGCCAAGTTGCTGGCCCGTTGGCAGGCACGTCGACAATGGCCTGAAGCATGGAAACATGTGAGGCAGGTTCACCTGCCAAAAGAAATGTCTGCTGAAGATGGTGGTGCAGTGCACGGCTCGAACATGCGCCCAATTTGTGTGCAATCTATCCTTTGGAGAGTGGTTGCTTCAAGTATCACACGTCATGCCAACGTCACTCGATGGTTGCAGCAAGTCCTACCACCTGAAGCTCACGGTGGTATTCCTGGCCGTGGCATTGACACAGCGGTCTCTTCTTTGGAAGAGGCATTCCAAAAGAGAAGTTCCATTTTGGTGACTATGGACTACAGTAAGTGCTTTGACATGGTTGCTCCTCGTCTGGCTTTAAAGACTTTGGAAGCGGCTGGTTTCCCTGATGTTTGGTGTGCCATGTTGAGCCATGTGTGGCTGGATCAACACCGCTGGCTTCAGTTGGGTCAAAACTTTTTGCCCCAAGCTTCAATTGTCTCAGAAAGTCTCCCCCAGGGTGACTCCTTCTCGCCTTTGACTCTGAATGTTTTGCTGTCCTCTCCAGTACGGGATGTGGCTCTGCAGGAACAACGTACAAACTTTGTCCAAGCTGTTTTTCTTGATGACAGGACCTATGTGGCAGTCAATCCGTCGCAGGCGCGCCGCGTCTTTTTGACTTGGGAGTGGTGGAGCAAGGTCTTGGGCCTTCGTGAGAACATGTCCAAGCTGAAGATCATTTCACGTCAAAAGGCTCAACATGCTGAACTTCTGCAGGTGGGTTTTCCTCGGCAAACGCTGACCTCACAAGCAAGGGTGTTGGGCATCGATTTTTGTGATCGTTTGAATATGGCTTCTCGTTCTACGGCAAATAAGCGTGTTCAGGCTGCTGAGCTTCAAGCACGGAGACTCTGCAAAACCAAAGCGGTGCCTCTTCAGGCCAAGAAAATGTTGTGGCGGACTCGCATTGTCCCCAAGGCAGCATGGGGGTGTTTCTTTCACATGCCAAAGATGACCTCCCTGCAGGCTGCTTATCGCAAGTTCATGTTTGTGCACGCACTGGGCTCACCTGATTTGAGATGTATTTTGGATGGGCACACTTCTGACCTTCATTTCGTGGCTGGCTCTCTAGTTGCAAGCGCTTTGCGCAAAATGGCCATCTCGGGCCGTGTCCGCTGGTATGAGCAGCCAAAATGCGGTACATGGTTGCACACCGTTCAAAGGTGGCTTTCAGAGTTTGGGTGGCAGGTCGCTGGACCTTGGAAATGGTGTCATGCTGCATGTCGGCTCTCTATGGACTGGATGGAACTCCTCGATATGCCCAACCAGGAGCGTTTCAAGTTTTTGCTGGATAAATTTGATCATGGTATTCGTGAAACATGGAGGTTTACGCATTTTTCTGCTTGGCTGAAGAGTAAACGTCGAGATGCGACAGCACTCAGAGGATTTGTTTTTTTACGATGAAGAGCGTTTCAAATTAACGAGACAGATGTTTGAGTCACAAAATGGTCATGGCAAGGCTGTCATGGTAGGTGCTGCTTGCAGCACTGCAATGTATCAAAGCTTGCGGCTTGGTGCAGTGGACAACTTTTGTCCTTGGTGTCAGGAACCTAGTGTCCCAGCCTGGGACCACTTATGCTGGTACTGCGGTGCCTTTGATGAAGTGAGACCTGCAATTCCGCAGGATTTGATGCAGAGACGTTTAGGTTGGCCATCCCTGCAGAGTGGTCACCATTTCAATGCTGAGGTGCTTGCGCACATGTCCAGTGTGCGAAGCAAGGTTTTGGAGAAGATGTGAGTTGTGGCCGTGTGCCACTTGGCGCTGCCATCCCTGAGGTGCAGCGTCAGCAATCAAATTATATATACAATAATCATGTCGGTTCTTCCTTCGTGTATCATTAATGGTTAGATGATTAATGGTTAAATCAATAGACAATAATCATGTCGGTTCTTCCTTCGTGTATCATTAATGGTTAGATGATTAATGGTTAAATCAATAGACAATAATCATGTCGGTTCTTCCTTCGTGTATCATTAATGGTTAGATGATTAATGGTTAAATCAATAGACAATAATCATGTCGGTTCTTCGTTCGTGTATCATTAATGGTTAGATGATTAATGGTTAAATCAATAGACAATAATCATGTCGGTTCTTCCTTCGTGTATCATTAATGGTTAGATGATTAATGGTTAAATCAATAGACAATAGTCATGTCAGTTCTTTCTTCGTGTATCATTATATAATGGTTAGATGATTAATGGTTAAATCAATAGACAATAATCATGTCGGTTCTTCCTTCGTGTATCATTAATGGTTAGATGATTAATGGTTAAATCAATAGACAATAATCATGTCGGTTCTTCCTTCGTGTATCATTAATGGTTAGATGATTAATGGTTAAATCTGTGGCTTAAAAATGTTAAAAATGGGTGAAATCCACATTTTACTCGCTATCCCCGTGTCCTGCCCTGCTTCGAGGTCCCACCCTGCTCCTTTCGCACCTTCCTCGGTGGGTGATGGGAGATCGGTTGGCACCGGCAGCTCCTCGACATGGAACAGGAATGTGGCTTGGTTCAAGGGAGATTGACACGGGAAACTATGTTTTTTTTACCATTGAAAATATGGGAAAAGGTGGGAACCTCATGGGAAAATATGGGAAAATACACTATAAATGGAGGAATTATCCCATTCAAATCCATTATTTAGTCACTAATATGGGTAAAATTGGTAAAACAAGGTCATAATTGTTCCTACAGATGTTCCGTTCATGCAATGATGACTGGAGATTCGGATGCTATGACAGGCTATGACATGTCAAAAAAAACCCAGTGGGTCCCTACCGCTGGGGCTCTCTACCAATGGACTTGGGGGAAGGAAAACAAATGAAACTGGGAACAGTGTTTATTGGAAAATGATGGAAAATGCCTGAAATGGTCCTGCAAGCAAGCAACAAACATAGAAGAATGGCTGTATGTGTGTGTGTGTTTTTTTTCCTACACACCTTTTTGATATCTGCCAAAAGGTTAGTGCCAGCCTGCAACGACATGGTATCGTCGGTTCCATATGGTATGGAAACTTCAGGCCATGAAACTGCCTTGGAAAATTTCTGCTAGGAAAAGAAGTCTCCTGAGTCGCCACGTGTCTGCTGTGCCTCGTCAATCCTGGCTCCTGGTTGAGCCTGAAGCAGCCGCAGAAAGTCATTCTCCATAGGAGCTGTCGAATTGGTTGTCTCCGCATTGGTCAGGTTGGGATCTGATTCATGAGCTGATTCATGTGCTGTCTGTGGAGCACAATACATGGGAAGGCGCAAGCAGTCCGTACGGACCATCCAGATCACTACCACGTTGCTGGCATACCATATGGGGTATTGCCAAATGGCTTTGGGGAAGCAATCATCTTCAGTGATGAGCCAAGCTGCTGGTGTTGTCTGACCCAGCACAGTAGGCTGCATCTTCAAAATCGCTTTGCAATGTCCAGCCAAGTCTTGTCCAAAATGTGCCACAGCAGCAACTGGAATGTAGCCAGCATTGGAACAGAGCAAATTGGAGTTTCGGAAAATGGGCAATGTCACTTCTGATTCAATGTCTACTCTGCACAGGCCTTTGACAATGTCCCCAGCCTCAGACCGATAGTACCGGTCAATGTGTATGCAGACGCAGACCGGTGCATCCAAGAGCGCAGTGCGCATCGCATTCTCCTGAACCCAGGCTGTCACCAAGGAATTCAAACTGCAAGAACCCATGTCATGGTCATGTTGTGAGAGAGTCAATGTGATGGGAGTGAATCTGCGACTGTGATCATGCACTTGAATCCCTGCAGCAGTGTCCAATCTTCTTTCCCATCGCATGTCAAATGCAGTCGATTGCAGCCAAGCCAGTGTGCGTTGCGCGCATTCAGCGCAATCTTTCTGACCCAGTTCTGCACCCCAATCTGTGACAATCTGCCGAAACCAATCTGTATGCTGCAGTGTTGCCGGTTTGTTGGCAAACGTTTGCAAAAACGAAATGAGCTCAGCAAAATGTGCCCCCCACAGGTCCGTCATTGGATCCTGGAAACTCACAAGCGCCCAAAGAAGGCTGTGAATGATGCTGTTGCCATAGCACCAATTGCGGTCATTTGTGAGCCGCAATCCACATAGGCATTGGGTCAAGGTGGCCACCAGAGCAGGGCTCAGGACACTGATTTGGTCTGGGATTTCTTGTGCACCTTCTGTTTGCCCTTCCCGTGGCCCTTGGATTGGCCCAACATACTCTGAAGAGCGGTTGCCATAGGGGTTTGATGCAGGGTATGCTGCTTCATCGTTGCACCCACTGCCATCCATATCGAATTGTGAGCGAGATGAAAGAGCAGGTCGTAGGCCCTGTCGCTCCGAAGGTTGATCTGGAGGCGCCAGGGGACGACGCGATCGCTCTTGGGGTCCGGGGCTCTCAGGGCATGGAAACGCATCACCAGCTCCCGGTCCTGCATCATCTCCACCAGCTCTTCCAAGTGCTGATCCATCTTCTTGGCACTCACTGGGGTCTTTTTGTCCAGAACCAACATCTGGGTTTTCGGATCCCAGCGGTGGTAGGGGAAGCTGCGGTCTGCAAGAATCAGGCCCTTGTCGGCCGAGGTGATGTAGATCTGATCGGTCTCCTTGCTCGTCATGAGCTTGGCCAGCCTGTTCCTCATGCTGGTCAGCAAGGCTAGCATCAGGTGCTGTCTCAGCGGCATCATCTGAGTCAGGGATGAGTCCTCCATCTTCTCGGCTTTCTCCTTCCACTGGACTGTCTCGTGGAGGAGCAAGTGGAGCGCTCCTGTCGGATCTGGATTCAAAAAAAGAATGTATTGATCCATCCTTCGAAGGCCCTGAAGTTCTTGATCGTGTCTGATCAGCAGCTGAGCCATGGTTGTCAGCATTCTCATGGCGGGTGTGGGTTGATCTCCGGTTTGTGGAGGGTCTACCATCTCTGCATCGTGGCCTTTTGGCCCGTCGCGCTTGCGCGCTTTGGTCTGCCTGGGATTCTCCGGAAGGGCCAGTGTGTGGTCCACAAACAGTGATGCCAGAGCCCCGAATGCCTCCTCCATCTGAGCAGAGGCCGCCAAGTCGGGTGGTCCCATGGCGGAGGCTACTTCCATTCAGCAAGGCACCAAAGAGCTGGGCCAGCTGGATCAACACTGGACAGGATCCCTTCAGGTGAGAATGGGCCAATTGTGCTCGATCAGACAAAGATTCATCAGGCCGTAATGCAGCAGGCAAATTGTAAATGAGTCCACATAAACGGCATTGAAAATCATCCAGATTCAAAGCAAAAACTGTCGGCAAGAGTTGTTCCATGTAGAAAAGAAACATCTCATGTCTGCAGTTGTGCTCCTCTCGGAAGTGCAAGGTCAAATCAGCAGGTTGATGGCGCTCTCCACAGAGAAGACAGATGGTGCGCAGGAATTGCAAAAGTCCTGGATCCTGCCAGGTGTCTGCAAACTTTCGGTGCACCAGAGCTTGTTCCAGCCGATACTTCATGTCATGTTGCAATGAGGCTGCAAGGATATCCTTCAATGCCTGATCCGTTATGACCGTGGGGGCAAAGGGCTCCATGTCCAGTCGATGAAATGCCATTGCAAGTTGCCTGAAAGGCAAGCAAATATGATTGGCCCGTTTGACACCTGTGCTTGGGTTGCAAAAGCACTGATATTGATAGTAAACATCGACCAAGATCATCGTGAGCCTTTGAGACTGTCTCCACAATCTGGAATGGGCAGATTGAAGGTGTAATGAGAGATCTGAAGCACGTTGACAGCCCTTGCCACATGCCTGGCAAACAATTGTCAAACGCATGCGTGCTGCAGGTGTTCTCAAAATTTCCAAGAGTTTGCCGTCCAAACAGGCCTCCTTCCACATGTTGTCCACAGGCAACGTCTCGGCCGTCGCCTGGGGATTGAAAAACTGACATCGGCCTTGCACTATGTGAGACCGCAACCCAGCCAATGTAAGAAATAATTGGCCGCAATGTGAGCATGCTGAGGATCCATCCAGTGAGTCCCTGCTTTCATTGTAGCTCAGACCCTGAAGTCCATGGTGAGCCTGCAAATGTTGGACAAGGGCTGCTGGAGTTGAAAAACACTCTAAGCACAGCTCACAGCGTTGGCGCACTTCATGTAGGGGTGCCGCATCTGGGGCATTCAAAGCAGCGCCGTTCACCAACAACACCGCAATCTGAGACCAGGTTGGGCAGCTGTGAGTTTTGAAAAGTGCACCGCAACATCCACAAGGACTTTCTGAGGAATACAAATTCGTGAGTTGGACCGCCTTCTGAGGTGCGTGCTCCCATAACTCGGGATGCTGCTGTCGGAAATGTTGATGAAGTTCTTGGCATCTGCTGAATTGGAACGAGCAGATGATGCATTTGGATGCAAGGTAGCTGCACGCCTCACGTTCCTGCTCAACCTTGTCCCACTCTCGCTCATGCACAATGTGAAGCAGGCGTGGTCCAAAAGCCTGCAAATTCAAATTGTGCAATTCATCTGCTGTGATCATACGCATGCCCCTTGCTGCCGCCATCTGCGGTTGCAACGTGCTCATGAGGTTGGACAGGCTGCCTGGTTCCCGCTGGGAATCAATGAACTCCTCAGGACCAGCTCGAAGCTCCTGGCATCCCCGGTCAATGTGGTTCTGAAACATGCGCCATGTGGAAAATCGTGTTGTGCAAAAACGACATGTAGGTAATCCATCAGTGGTAAAGGCTGATTGCTTGACAAACTGAGTCCGAAAAGTAGCATGTCCATGTGCCTTTGTGCAATGTCGTCTGAAATTGCTGACATTGTCAGTGCAAAAATCACATCTGGCACATTGGTAAAATGGTGTGGTATCACAGGCCTCTGGTCCAAATGACGTAGGCGTCTCCAAGGAAACTGTGGCCTGCAAATGATCCAACCGAGATAGCAAATCAGGCAAATGTGTCCAAGTGATGGTATGCACCAAATCATGTGAAGGGAGTTGTGCACTTCGCTCTGTCAGGGTCCTCAAAAGTCGAGCTGCAGTACCATGCAGCAATTGCGCCGGTGACTGGAACTTGTGCAATGTCAACACATGAGCATTGGTTCTGCGTGTAATGTAAGAATGGTCATGCATCAGTTTGCGTAGCATTGTCATCATCTGTGTTGTAGCTATCTGGATGCCAACTTGTGTCAACCCCATTGCAAAAATGCCGTAGCTCAAAATAGGATAGATGCAAGTGATCCAAAGTTTGTAGCGTTGTGCAATGGTCAATCTATGTCTTCCAGTGAGCCACCGCTGCAGTCGTCGGAATCCCGTGTGCATCAAGCTCAAACGATGTTTCAAACTGGCATCTTCGAAGTTGCCATATCCAATCATCACGCCCAGGTATTTTGCAGTCTGTTTGATGGGAATGAAAATGTCTGCAGCAGCGATTGGTGTGATTTTCAAGCTCTCTCCAGTGTGATCTTTCCTCACAAATTGTCGCCTGATTGCACGACCTTGTTGGCCCCGCAGCTCCAAAATGGCAATTGATTTGCCCGTGTTGAGAGTCAGATCCATGGAGGTCAAAGTTGTCACAAAAATGCCCAGGGCTTGTTGGAAAAACCGAAACTCATCCAATGTCACAAAAGAATCCCCTATGTGGATGTCGTCAGCGTAGATTGTTATACACCTTTGTATCCAGTCAAAGGGAAGTTGTGTCATTAAATCATGTAACATCAGAACAACAAACCCATTCCATAATCCTGGCGCCGCCTTGCATCCTTGGCGTACTCCCTTGCCAACATCAACAGCCGTGTCTGCTTGATCATGTTGAACGTAGTAGCAAGTTGCTTCATGCCAGGTGCTCAGGAGATTTTGGATGGCAGGACTGATGTGCAATTCATGAAGTCTGGAAAAAAGTTTGCGACGATGAACACTGTCAAAAGCCCCTTTAAGGTCAAAGCATACCTGGCAACCCCCAAAGAGATTATATCTAATGGCATGATTTGCTCTGGTATGAGGCGTTGATCTTTGTTGGCTCAGAAGCAAACGGACAGCTGCACAGTGAAGGCTAACCCTTCTGATCGCATCCAGTGTCGATCTATGTTCAACATAAGCCAAAACTGGAAAAAGAATCAAATGATTGGAAGCCTCTCGCATGGCCAGATGAATTAGGAGCCCTATCACCGCCTTGCCTACTGGCTCTTGCAGAGCCAGCGGCCGCAAATTTTGAGGGACCACTGGAGGACGTGATGGTTTCGGAATGAGAAATAACCATCCATGTCGCCATGCGCTGGGTATACATGGGGGATTAAATGACCACCAAAAACAAAGTTTCTGATAAAGAAGGGGTGCAAGTATGGCAGAATGTTGTCTCCATACCACTCCTGGTGAGAATGGTTTTGCGACCGCTTTGGTGGTGGGTATCAATGCAAGCGCTGTTTCAAGCTGGCTCACCGTGAAAGGTACACCTGGAGCTTGCTCAAAGGTCAGATGCAAGCATTGCGGACCAGACCAAGTGTCTTCCACATACTTGTTCAACAGGGCAGCACCCTCAATAGGACTGGCCATCACCCCATCATGATTACGCAGCTGAATCTGTTTCCGTGGCTGTTTAGGAGCAAATTTGTTAATGAGTTGAAAAAGCTTGTGAGTGTCATGTTGAGCCGCAGCTCTGGCAGCACAGCTAACAACATCATCAAACTTTTGTTTTCGAATTTGTGAGGCAAACTTCTGATGGGTTCTTTTCAATCTGACAAACTGAGATGCATGATGCCAACATTTGAATATGTTACGCAGAGTCGGCAGCCCAGGCCTCTGCATCAGGCGTCGATGTTGCCATTTGTTGAGCAGTATAGGCAGGGCAGGCTTCCAGGTCGATGTGGAACTCTCCTTCTTGCCCGCTGGAAAGTGAGTCACAAAGAGCTGCAGCATGCTACTGTGTAAATCATTCATGAAAACATCTGCATCCTTCGTGGTGTCGGCAAAGTGTTCAACCAACATGTCATGGGAACGGTCACAAAACTCCATCCAGGCTGGTGATTGCGTCAGATAGGCCTGTCTGCTGGACTGGCGCTGTTGCATGGTCACCTGTTGAATCCTGTGGTGTGCATGGTCAGGTATCCAAAATTTCGCCAGGGTGCATAACATCGGGACATGGCCATGAGTGGTCTGTGATATGAAGGGTGAATCCCACAAATACCGCACTCGTCGCGCTGTCCCGTCAGCATACATTTGCCTGACACAAATGTAATCCAGCCGACTGGCCGTGTGACCATGCACATACGTTGGGCCCAGGGCAGAGGACCACGTATTCAGCGCTACCAATGCAAAATGGCGCAAAATCTGAAGCAGTCTTGGATGGTCCGCATGTGAAGTGCCTCTATGAGAGCGTCCATTCCAGAGAAAGGTTGATGTGCCTGAGATTCTTGGAGAGGCCTGTAAAGAGCTGTTGAAATCTCCTAACATCACCAGGCAGTTCCTGGTGGGAAGGCCAGCCAGGACCCGTTCCAAAAGACCCCACCATCGTTCACGTGCTTGGAGGCAACTTTGTGTAGGTTGGAAAACATGTTGGTAGCAGGCTACAATATCCAAGTTTCTGGGATGTTGTTTCAAGCGCAAGTGCACCAAGCGTCCACTGTCATGGAATTGCCATTGAATTTGCGCTGAGTTGCAAATTCGACGCGAAACAAGAATCAAAATTCCTTTGCCCCGATGTGCACCCTCACCTGAATGAACCATATTCCATTCAGAGTCAGTCCACGTTGCATCATATGTCCATCTGGTTTCCACCATGACCGCAATGTCAACCTGATTGAGAGCTAACCAAGCTTTCACCTCGTCCAGCTTAGAGATGGAGAGTCCCCCACAATTCCATTGCCAGAAGGTCATGCGCCTTTTGGGAGCATGCTGACGGTTGCATCGATGTAGGTCATGATGAATGAACTCTCGTTCTGGAGGTGCAGCAGGACCGGTGGGTAGTGAGCAACCCATGTTTTCAAGCTCTTGGACAGTGTAGTGGCTACCTCTGTACCAGGCCAGTCCCTGTTGTAGCGCTCTGCGATAAGCCCGCTGTAGGCTGCGTTTCTTCACCTTCTGAGAATTCCTTTGAGCAGCTTCATGCCGTGCTTGTGTGCCTGCGCACGCTAAAGGCTGCATGCCATGTAGCTTCGTCCCCTCACCAAGGTTGTGTGGGATCTGATGCCGGACTTCCGTGACCTCCATGGCTAGGTCACTACCCTCACCCCTCCTGGTCTGCAGCATTTGAATGTTCAGTAGAATGAAGCAGAGGCCCAAAAGAAACCAATGCCAAGCCTTGTGTCGAGACCAGGGTCTGGACTTGGGACCAGACTTGCACTCAGAAACAGATCGAAGCTGGTGCTGCTGTCCACTTGTTCCAAAAGCTGTGTCGTGAGATAATGAAATGTTTTGTAAAGACAGTCGAAGAGGATCACAAAACCACCCAAGGGCACCTTTAGCCAGCAGGAGTGTGTGATCGCAGCTGAAAAACCAAATTAAACAAATGATCCACTGTTGAAGCCGCTTGAAATAAGTACCAATGAAAAATCGTAATACCAACGTCGATGCCAAAAAACAGAGAACCCACAAGGGCCAGCCAGCAAGCGGGAGCCCACCCCCTGATGTTGTACAAGGCTTGAAAAATCTCAATGGGACAATCAGCCAGGGTGCCCAACCCTTGTATGAGCTCACAGTCGAACAACAGGTCAGCCAGCGTAAACCAGGAGCCCACCCTGCAGAATGTTGTTCGACTGTCTGAAATTGGCAAATGAACTGTTTTGAGAAAATTAAACTGTATCCAATATTGGTGGCCAGTAAAAAGGTGTTGATCCGCTGTAAGCAGGCTCTCGGGCAACAGGCCAGTCAGTGAAAATACGGAGCCAAACCCGCAGTGCGTTGCCGAGAGCTGCCGCTGTAAAAACCAAGTTGCTGTTAGAATCCAGTCGTCCAACCAAGACCAATGTGACGTGTCTGAATCAAATCGCGGCTCAAAATCGTTTGTTTCTGTCGTGTGAGTCCCCTGCAGGCCAGTCAGTGTTCGGAAGCCTACTCCGCAGCGAGCAGGGGACTCAAAAAGGTCTGTTGAAGCCACTGAAAAAGAGGCGCCAGCGCCAAATTTAGACCCAAGTGGTTGGATTGATGTATGATTCCCCTGCAGGCCAGTCAGTGTCCGGAAGCCCACTCCGCAGGAAGCAGGGGAATCGAAATAAAAATCTGCTGATATCTGAGGAATTGAACTGCCAAACCCGAAACTAAGTCCAAACTGCAATGCCTTGCGATTTCCCTGCAGGCCAGTCAGTGTACGGAAGCCCACTCCGCAGAAAGCAGGGAAATCCACTGATGTTTGATCCACACAGAAAAATTGTTCAGGCAATTCCGGTGTCGTATGAAATCCCTGCAGGTCAGTCAGTGTCCGGAAGCCCACTCCGCAGAAAGCAGGGAAATCAAATGATGAGATCTGGTCCAAAGAGAAAAGTTGTGCAAGGGAAATCCAACAAGAAATCAGGATCCAGAGACCAAGCAAAAGGCCAAAGTGGGTGTGCAATCGCCAGGAGAATTCAGTCGCCGTGTTGCTGAGGCAATGAGAGGTATGGCTATGAGGCCTCTCGATTCAATCCAAACGTGGAGCCACAACTCAAAGAAAGTATTGCGGAATTGAATTGTGAAAAAGACCAAAATGGCAGCGGCAGCAAAGAAATGACGGATCAATGGCTCAAATGAAGACACAGCGCAGGAACGTCACGTGGGGGCCTAGAGCTCCTCGCTCTTCGAGGCACCGCTTCTGGATGCAAAGGGGCTTGTGTGTGTGTGTGTGTGTGTGTTCGTGTGTGTGTTCGTGTGTGTGTTCGTGTGTGTGTTTGTGTGTGTGTGTGTTTGTGTGTGTGTGTGTGTGTTTGTGTGTGTTTGTGTGTGTGTGTGTGTTTGTTTGTGTGTGTGTGTTTGTTTGTGTGTGTGTGTGTGTTTGTGTGTGTGTGTGTTTTGCGACCCCACGACTCTTTCAAGTCGGCAAGCAAGCCACACGTGGAAATTGTTGTACCACGGCCTTCTGTTGCACTTTGCAGGTCCAGCAGTGAACAGAAGGTCTTATCCAGCTATGCTAGGCCCGTAGGCCACCGTCGGATCAGAAAAGATCCAATTTTCCAATGCCAAAAGCTCGTATTGGAGAGCAGCAAGGAATGTAAAAAGAGACATGCAGAAAAATGTGAGAAGAGAAGCATCAGATGGTGAAATTCCAAGCCATCAAATCGAATTGTATGGAAGTCCAACGTCCAAGGAGTCCATAAAAAGGTGAAAAACCGACCTAGAAAGAAACATCCAAGGTTACAGGAAATGAAACCCTCCGATGGCCAAGGAAGCCCCTCTCAGTAGCCACAGCTCAGATGCGCAGCGCCAAAGCAGCAGCTCGGCAAGGCTTCCACTCTGCCCAGCCCACTCTGCCCGGCCCACTCTGCCCAGCCCACTCTGCCCAGCCCACTCTGCCCAGCAACAATGCTATGCAGTAGCAGCCGCAGCGGCTATCGTGGCTAATGGAGTCCTGTCAAGTTCGGCATCAATCAGCCAAATCAAATTCACTTGACGCTGAATATCAATCGTGAGTTCTGACATCTGTTCAGGAAGCTTGCCATCATCGTAGACAAACCATCTGTTGCAATGAAACAAGGCCGCACGCCAGTGACCGCTTCGTGCAGTCTGACCAATGTGGAAGGCCAATGCAGCTATGCGGTAGTTCTTCCAACAGACTTGTGAATCAGCATTGAAATAAGGAATCTGAATCAGTCCATGTTGCAAATCCACAATCTGATTGCATTTGCGAAAATGTGGTGGGACACGTCTATCAATTGCAAAACAGAGTGCTGCTGAGGCCTCGCTAAATGATCGACGAAGACCTGAGGAGTCGTGCCAATGCTGAATCAAATCAGTGAATGTGCAGTGATCCAACGTGATGTCAAAAATGGGTAATGTAACCGGCTGCAATTCATGACCTTTTTCATCCTGCAACTCCGTGCCCACGTAGCTTTGAAGTAGAGCAGGTTGCGGTACCCAAACATGATTCACAAATTGAGGAGCCATCTGCATCAAGATGTGAGAGGTAAAGTCAATCAGATCGTTCTGTCGATCTTTTTCACCCTTGCCCCAGTCACCCCCTGGGAAGAGTGCATCAAAAGGTGCCAAGTTGTACAGCGTCAATGGCAATGGAGTCCAGGCTGTCAAGGTTTGCAACAGCTCAAAGCCAGAGCGCCATGCACTGGCGGCCAAATTGGAGCTGACAATGCTCACCCAAGCTAAACACTGCAATGCAGCATTGGCATAGCACAAGGTCCTGGTGGGGTTAAGAAGTAACCTCACCAGTCGTCTGCTCACAGCATTTTGCTCAGTTGTTGAGCCATCGCTGATCGCTGCATTGTGTGGCTCTTGACTCGGCATTGGATCAGCTGCCAGCAGGCATGAAAAGTCAGGAATTTGACTTGATGCCACAGTTCTGGACTGTTCCGTGACGAGACCGTCCAGATCCAGGGAGTGGCTTGTTGTGGTGTGTCCGGAAGCCGTCGCATCGAGTGGAAGCGTACTGTGGTCGTGCAGTCTGTCATCAGTCGAACTATGCCCTCCAGGTGCTTCAGGGTCTCGGCAATGGTCAGACATTTGTCGGCTGTGGGTTCCAAGCTTTGCGTCTTCGGATTCCAGCGCAGAAACGGCATCTCCATGTTCTGGTTCAGCACATGAAAGCGCCAGCACTCCTTGACCACCTCGTCGTCCGTCTTGGACACACTCAGCTTCTGAACTCGGTCTCTCAGCAGGGTCATCATGGTGGAGGCCAGCTGATGTCTCAATGGGATCTTGGCGCCTGACTGGTCGGTCTTCCAATTCTGGGTGACCTGAATGAGGTCCGGAAGAATGCTCCCGTTGCCAATATTGACATGAACCAGGAACTGATGTTCTGTCAGCAAAGAATTGATGGTGTCTTCCTGTCTCAACACCATTCTTGCCATCAGTTGCAGCATTTCTGGAGCGTTTCCACGGGGTTTCACTGGCATCTGTTTGGCCTTCTCTGTTTTGAGTCGTTTGGCTGTTTGCCCTGGTTGTTGTGGTTTGTCCACGTTGAGGCCCATGGAGCGCAGTTGACTGGCTGTCAAAATGTGTTCCCATATCTTGGTGGCCTGGTCGACATTCGAATCCCCCATATCTTCTGTGGTCCCAGCCATTGCACAAGGCGGTGGCAAGGTTGAAGATCACGATGCACCGTTTGCCCACTGCATGAGCATGTGAAGTTGAGCCACAGTAGAGACACATTCTGGTCTGCTGGGTCATGAGCAACAAGTGATGTAGCTGTTCCGTCAAATATTGATGGAAGTTGTGGTCAATCATGAGATGCTTCAAAAACTGGTGTTGACTGATGTGTAAACGTCCACAGACTAGGCAGTTGTGTGACATGTGTTGCACCATCCAGTCATCATCCAAAAAAAGTTTGGCCCAGTTTGCATACATCAACAGTGCACTGTCGGCTGGTTCTGAGGGTGGAGCTTGGAAGTGCCAGCGTCTTTGCGTGCGCTGTCGGTGGGCTTCCAGCATCACCTCATTGGTCGGCCATGTCACAACAGGATGAAAATCACGCTCCCAAATGGGATGACTGAGTAGCACCGAAATCTGCATCATCAGAGGACAAATGCGGAGATGTTCTCGGACTAGCAGTTCAATACCATCAGCATTGATGACAGAGTGCAGGTATTCACCACAATAGTCACAGGCTGGGTCAGGGCTGTGCAGCGCTGTGAAGATGTCAGCCAACTGGTTCATGTGAAAGGAAAACCTTGGCAGGTGCATACCATGTTCTGCTCTCAAGTGTGCTTGCATCCGTTGAAGTGGCACATTGGCTTGACACACCAAGCATGTCACCCGCAGCATCTGGAGCAGACCTCTGTGTTGCCACAAACTTCCAAATCGACGCATCATAAGATTCACTGTAAGCTCTTGCAAATGATTGGGACTCACCAGGTTAATCAACAGATCAATGATGTCCTTGGCCTTGAAGCAGTAAGGAATAAAAATCGGCATTCCAAGGTCCTCAAAGACCATAGCAACCTGTCGTAGGGAAATGCAATCGTGCATCTCATCACCATAGTGAGCACCTGGATTGCAACAGCATCCACTGACTCCAAAAAGAATCCAACGCAAAAACTCATAGGCTGGAAGACTTCGATTCCAAAGTT